CTAGCCAGCATAGACAGCAAATAAGCAACTGTTTTTCACAAAAGCTTCTCTCTGGGAGTCTGCAAGCATACCACAGTCATGTTGTTGCAGCATATCCTGTGAGAATAGTGTGAACAAGTCATGGTATAATTCACTCAAGTGCAATAGCACAATTTGCTGATCCCCTTGTTTACCCTGCAAATGGAAAAAAAATAAATCATTAATTACATAGTGAGAGTCATGAGAATATTGTGGGCAAACAATGACAAATTGGGCCTTGAGTCTTTCAGAGGAGATGTTTTCTGGATCCAGGGATGTTTATTATGTTAGGATGTCAAGTAATACATTCAGGCGTGACATGAGACAGACACAGGGATTGTCCTCTGTAAGGAGCTAATAGCTTTTGACTATGATATGTACAATATTTAGCTCCCTAATAAGAAGTGTCCTTCCTAGTTGAATCTCAACTTATTTACCTCTCTGTTGAATGTCTCATGTACAACAACCCTCAGGAGCGTGTGGGTCAATCCTAAACAGACAAAGCATAGATATGCTTTCTTGCAATCTGGACCAATGGAAACAAAATAAGATGAGATAGGCAAGTGGCTTATTAGCTGCCTTCTGTTTTTGGAGCCCTTGACATGGCTCTAATTATGGACATCTTTGTATAGTTTACTCTGTGATCTAGAATCAACAATTTCTGTAAAATCTATACCCAAGACCAAATTTCTTGAAACAGCTTGAAAAAGGGAGCTCTGTGATTCCAAATGTCAACATGATGAACAATTAAGTTTTTCTGACACCTAGAATGCCCATAAGCCAGTATCAGTAACAGAATGGTTGAGTGAACTTTCACCTGTTGCTTGGTATATTTTGTGCAAAGAATTGAAACCAGTCCAGGAGAGCTGCAGAGAAGAAATAGTTTCAGCTGTTGAGCCAAAGGAATTAGTCACCATTAATGTCCCACCAAATTATTTGACCTTCGTTTGCTTGATTTTCTGTAGGGGAACTAGATATTGTTTACAAAAACAGATAGTAAACATGCGGTGAAATGGAGAGAAACACACATTGGTGCTATCCTTCTGTGTGGCTCAAACCAAATATTTTATATCAGACGGAAGAAATTTAGGTAAAGCTGTGGGGTTCTTAATTACGGTTCTAAGGAGCCACTAAAATGTATACAAAATTTTGAAAACATGCTTGAATGTACGTTTTTCTAGGTGAAGTTTACATAGCCTGAAAATGTTTTAAAAGTTGGTATACATTTTAATGGATTCTTGGATATACAGCAACCCAATACATGTAATCTCGTTATTAATGTTTATAAATGGAAGAAAATCTACATATTCATGGAGTTTACACTGAGGCTCTGTGAATCCCTACTGCTTGTCTTGCTTGCTAAGACAGCAGCCTCGGGGACAAAGGCAGCTGTTTCCAGGACATCAAATTTAGCCAATTTCAAATGTTTTACTTTCAACCCATTTGGAAGAGAAGTTTTAGTATGTAGCGTTTGCTTTTCAGCCCTTTTCTCTGGAATGCTTTTACTCCACTTAGGCAAGAAAAACTCAGACTCAAGGCTTCCGCAGGAAGTAGAGACCACTGGACTGGATTTTAGACAGGGAAGTGCTCTGTATCTCTGGGTTGGCACAGCCTGGTGAAAACTGTTGAACTGCAGCATTTCAGTCATGGTGCCGGCCCAATGGCTCGAGGCCAAGATTGCTATTTGGCAACAAGCGGCCAGACAAGCAGCTGGTTATTGCAGCGAATCTGAGCAGTGTGCTTGCGGCCACGACTCTGGAGCCAGGTCCTCCAACCCAGTCAGCAACTGAACCCTTGAGGCTTTTTCTGGCTCTGTTCCCATCTCGCCTCGTGGTGGGCTTTGCCCTGACAAGGGTAGTCTCCAGCTGGTTGTCCTTCCTGAGTCCTGAGCTATGGCGTCTGGCTGGAGTAGGATGCTGACAGACCACCTAAAGCTGAGAGAACACTTGGCAGCTGTGACTGACTCTGTGGGGGCACTGGCCAGAGCATACTTTCACTAGAGGCTGGCTGGACAGGGGCAGAATCAATATGAGCTGCTGGCATTCCCCTCTAGCCAGGGGCAAAGAAGTGACAGCCTGCTGGCGTCTGCCTTTGGCCCTGCTGGCATTTATTTTGTGCTCTTCCTTATAAAAAGTGCTAAGACTGAGGGGCCTGGTGAGCAAACTTGTCAGGAGGAAATGGGCAGGAGGAGGTGAGGGAAGAGAACAGGAGATATAGTCATAATCAACAAGTATAATGACATTAGCAATGGGTGAGCAGGGTCTTACTAAATTTTCTGTATTTCCAAAGTGGAAAAAATCCCTTCCGTAGGCTTTTTAATTCTGTTTTCTGCCAGAACTTCTGGACCTTGAGAATAGTTTGATGTTAGGCTTTTGGAAGGGAGAGAGCACAGCTTTTCAGGAGGCCCGGTCTCCCTGTAGGTGTTCCCCTCCTGGGGTCTGGCGCCATCTGCAAGTTTGTTGTAGCTGCTGATGAATTTAAACTGAGTTAGCAGGAGTTGGATGCAGCATATTTAGAAAGCACTCGTCTTTCTTCTTTTGTTGGGGTGGGAGAGGGGAGAAGGGACTCGGGCAAGATTATTTTCCCACTGTTCTCTAACAGACACCATAATCCAGTTTTCAGCATTGTGCCCTCCGTGTTGATTGCCGGGAACTTAGAGAGCTATTCAGAATGGTTCAGAATGAAGTCTGACAATTTGAACATAGCCATCGGGTAATTCTCAGCATCTTTCAAAGGATGCCTGTAATTTCTCCCGGGGAAAGTTGAAGTGTGCTACAATGGTGGATCTATTAAAAATATTGGCACAGAGGAACAATGACTCCATTGTGTTTAATTGCTGGGATTCCTGCCTTACCACATAGGACAAGTACCAACAGGCTACTTTCTATGAAACTTGTCTTTTATTCCCAATATTTGATCGCCTTCTGGAATGAGGCATATGACTAGCATGTCTGTCACTTAATGTAGATGAAGTAAATAGAATAGGAATATAGTTCTAATGTTATACTGCAACTGTATAATTTTCTTTTTTTTTTTTGATCGGGTCCACTGACATTCTTTTACCTATTTGGTCATTTACCCAAGAAACATTATTGTTGTAACTCACCATGTACAATAATCCTTGGGACTGTGGGGGTCACAGACAGAGCAAGCTCACATGCATAGTGTAAGGAAGAAATCTGATATTGGTTGAACTAATGAATATTTCACTCAAAAATAATTTCACGGGGCCGGCCTGGTGGCACAAGCCGTTAAGTGCGCGCGCCCCGCTGTGGCGGCCCAGGGTTCGCCAGTTTGGATCCTAGGCGTGCATCGACGCACTGTTTGTCAAGCCATGCTGTGGTGGCGTCCCATATAAAGTGGAGAAAGATGGGCATGGGTGTTAGCCCAGGGCCAGTCTTCCTCAGCAAAAAAAAAAAAAAAAAAAAGAGGAGGATTGGCAGATGTTAGCTCAGAGCCGATCTTCCTCACAAAAAAAAATAAAATAAAATAATTTCACAATATTAGATATGAGTGTTTTTCTTATTTAGAGATCCATTTCAATTGTCAAAATAATACAGTGGCATTTGTCATTTTTGTTCATGAAGTCATAGTTGGATAATTTATATTTGACTCTTCTTCACTCCATCCCCATCCTAATCTATCTGCTGAACTCCCACTCATACCAAAGACACCAACTCAAATACATTACATCATGCAATCCATAGTCTTTCTCCAATTTTCACAAAATCATTTGCCACAACATGCATCTATGTTAGCCATTCCACCTTATTTATATGTTGATTATCACATTTACCATCCTGTGTTCTACTTCATTTTTACGTCTTCATTTCTCCTGCTAGACTATGAGCGCTCTGAAGGAAAAACTGTTTCTTATCTATATTTGTATGCATTTTAATTTCAGTGATGTTAAATTATATAGTGAAGTGAAATTATCACCATTTACAGCAAGAACATTTTTAATTTCCGGATACAGAAGTATAGTTGATTCTTGTTATTTGCCATCGTTATTTCTATAAAGTCTCTGAGAACACTGAATTAGCAAATATTGAACAATTGCTCCTAATACAGAGTTAGGTTTCTGCAGAACTCTGATCACGACATTTTCATCAGCCAATCAATACATAACTTTGTTTTATGTGTGCTTCTGTTTAAATACACCTATTTAATATATATTGTTAATTCATTAACATTGAATTCACGGCCACCAGCACTATAACTCATGCCTGCATAAAGGTCATTTAACACACATTTTTCTCTATGAGACATTGTCAAAAATCTAGAAATAGCAAAATTAAAACTGCCAGATCAGTAAAATAGTATTTAGTAAGAGTTTATTGAGCATGTAAGAACAGTTCGTGAACTGGGAGCTTTCAAATTCCAAACTGATATGAAGCTCAGAGGCATGACGTTACAGGATGGCTTATAAAGTGAAAATAAGAAAGTTGTTTAACCTTCACAACGATTGCTTACTACAGTGGGGGTTTCCAGATGACAGGGGATGGGTTAAAAGTGATTATCTCATACCAGTTTTAGGAAGAAGACTTAAGTTTCTTTTCTGATTATCAGAGGTGTTTACAAGAAATAACCTAAGTTAAGTTTCACTCATGTTCATGAAATAAGCTAGATTTAGTTTTGCTTACATGGCTTAAATGGTTTTGTCTGTTTGGGAGATTTTCAAGTCTGGTCTCCATTTTGTTTTATTTTAACAGCACATTGTAGCCTCCTTGCACTTAGGAACACTAGAGAACACTGCAGCACTATGCTTGGTGGCCATTTTAAACAGCCAAAAAAAAAAGGCACAAAAATGTGAAAAATGTAGCACTGAATAGACTTCCAAAAGGACACTTGTTTCTAGTATGAGAGCTGAAACAAGAAGGCAGAGCCTTGCTTTGTTCAACTTGAGTTGAAAACATGTGCGTCAGGCAACTCAAATTTTTCACCTCACTGCACATGTCCACAGATGACCATGAAACCACTGCAAGTATTGATTTGGGGTTACAGATAAATTTTAGTGAGTAGGTAAATTCACAAATACAGAATCTGTGAGTAATGAGGATCAACTCTATTACGGATCACTAATATTTAACATGGTAGTCACCACTTCGTTTAATCCAAATTGGGTGTGTGATGGGGTATAGAATTAGAAAACTTACTTTCTGTGGGTTAATAAGTATTGATTAGGAAATTTTCGTTTGAAGTAGATTTTATTTTAAAATTATGTGATAGCCAAAGCACTCCTTAGTTGTCTTGAGTGTTTAATTCAGAGAAGAAAATGAGACCATTTAAAAACATGTATTTTCCAAAAGACCCTCCACACCCCCTATAATTTGCTCTAATCTAGAAGTTAATGCAATATTAGCTAAAAGTAATGTATTAGGTGCATAAAGGCACATCCTGAGCACAAATATCTGCACAAGGATGTTCAGTAGCAGCAATGAGCTTGACTCAGAATAGAATATAGATATGCATGTATTATTGATGCTAATTCACCCTGGGGAACTTCCCTCTACAATCTATTCAATCCACTATGTACCACTGGATAAAGTACATGCAACTTTTTATTCACCCTATGTGGGATTATGAACAGTACCAGAAGGATGGATTCCTTAAGACTCATAGGAAAGTAATGACCATTTTCACAGTAATAGATTTTTTTCTAATAGAAAAAAATGGGTATTGTACTTCCAAGACATTATTCAAATATGTGTGCATGTATAAGTATTTGAAGAAACAAAAAAAATTAAACTCATATCTTTAAATTGATATGTTCAATTAAAGAACGAAGTGTTTGTGTGTGGAAAGTGATATAAGAAATACATGATAAGGCATATGTCCTGCCATAGCCCTGGCAACACAGGGATGAAGGGAGGCTTAGCACAGGAATTAAACAAGTATATATGGGCAAAATGGGTGAAGGGAGTCAAAAGGCACAGACTTCCAACTATATAATAAATAAGTCATGGGGAGGTAATGTACAGCATGATGACTATAGTTAATAATACTGTATTGCAAATTTGAAAGTTGCTAAGAGATTAAATCTTAAAAATTCTCATCACAAGAAAAATAAGTAAGTAAATAACTTTAATACAAGGGTAATAGACATAAAATAGTGTGATAAAGATGTAATCAGAATGAGAAGACCTAGAAAGTATCTTTTGAGATGGACCTCGTGTTACGATGAGGCATACAGAAAAGCATGAACAGCATTATGAGTGAGACAGCACAGGGCGCACTTAGAGTCACATTTCAGTCCAGGTTGACTACTGTGTGTGGAGCATACGGCATGAGTTGCAGTAGAGGTAGATTTAACTCACTCAAATCAATAATCTGGGAGATATCCTTGATTCTTAGTCTTTCTCCATCTCCACATCCAGTCAGTTGCCAAGTCCTGTCATGTCTATCTCCTGGATTTCTCCTGAGTTTGTTTATCCTTTGCTCTTCATCTTTCCTACTACTACTTTCATCCAGCTTCCTGCTATCTCTTACTGAAAAGGCCTCTTGATTGTTCTCCTTGCCTCTAACAAAGTCCCTTCAATCTGTACTCCACGCTGCAACTAGAATCAACTTCACATTATGTGACCCAGATAATATCACTTCTAAGCCCGAGCCCATCAAGTATCCCCACATTCCTTGCATGTCATAAAGGTCACTCAAGGTCAAGTATGTTTCCATTTCCTTCTCTAACTTCACCTCTTACCACTTCTCACGTTGCATTCTCTATTTCAACATTAATAAACTCACCTCAAGTTGTTTTGATTGCCATGCCGTCTTTTGCCTCTAGGCCTTTTATACCTGCTGTTACTTTTGCCTGGAACACTCTCCCTTCCCCATCATTCTCATACCTTGGTAACTCCAACACACATGTTCAGGTGTCAATCTACTGGGAGTTTTATGGTTTCAGGTCTTACATTCAAGTCTTTAATCCATTTTGAGCTAAGTTTTGTGTATGGTGTAAGATAATGGTCTACTTTCATTCTTTTGCATGTGGCTGTCCAGTTTTCCCAACACCATTTATTGAAGAGACTTTCCTTTCTCCAGTGTATGTTCTTGGCTCCTTTGTTCAGGTGTCAATTTACATGCCGGTTCCTCTAGGAAGCCCTTACTGAATCCTCTCAGATTAGACCAGATAGCCTTCTGAACTTCTCATATAGCACCCTGTGCTTAGTCTATGTAGAATTAATCCACAGTGTATTCTAATTATGTCTTTAAATTTTCAGCCTTTCCTCCAACTTGACTGTAAGCTCCTTGTAGACAAGAACTACATCTTATTTACCACTCTGTACTTTCCAGTATAAATTGAATTAGTACAGTAACAGGTACACAAGCTAGTGAAAATTTTTGGAGGAAGGATAGCGCTAAAATAGCCAGAGATAAACATTATTTATCTGTATGTTGTATATCTATAGACACATGGTTCATGGTTACTCATGGTTAAGTCTTTAAATTATATATAAATAATTATATAGAAATAATAAAAGACGTACTAAAAATCTTGATAGGACAACTAGAAGAAGAGCTGTTGCTTAAATTGTTTTTAAAAACATAAACATTGAGTATTGCACATTGCCTATATCCTTTTTGATTACTTGGATGGAAGAAGATTAAGCAGGGTGAATATTAGCACCTGTGAATACTCGCAGCTAAGCATAGCATATTATATAACTTCTTATGAACAGTTAGGGCTATGTCTTCTTTTATTCAATTTCCCTAAATTTTTTCTCTGTAATTAATTAATTTCCCTATTACATCATGATGTGAGAGATCCTGGGTGGTGAGGTAAACAATGTGACAGCAATCAGGAGATCCTGTTCTGAACCTGTTACCTTGGGTAAGTTATTTTGACTCTCTGCCAAAGGAGACTCTAGGATGAGTTGATCAGAACTTGCAAGTCATTTATTCCCACAGACAAGTGAGTTAACAGCCTATTATGTGCAGGGCACTTTCCAAGGTCCATTGATAAACACACATCATCTTTTCTTAATTATCTTTAGGAAGTAAATTGACAAGGTTAGTGTTCTTGGCTTAAAACTTCACCACCATCCCTCCCCCCACGGTTTTACAGTCCAATAGTATACAGTATCAAGGAATATTATTAGCAGGAAGAGTACTCCTCATCAGCAGTGCCATCAGGCAGAACATGTCTAGAATTTGAAGGCTTGATTTGTATTCTCTTTTTGTCCTACTACCAGCTGAACAATTACATAGACATATAACATTCATCTAAATAATAAAGAATGGCATTATTTATGATCTACTTGTTTAGGATGCCATAGAGACAAATTATATTCTTCTCATAAACTGTTCTCTGCTTCATCATGAGAGATATTCATTCATTCAGTCTTGAACTCATTTAGCAAACTCTTGGTAATTGCCAGCTATGTTTAAGCCACTGAGATAGGTGCTGGGAATAAAAAGTGATTAAAGCAAAGACCCAACCCATGAGGACCTTAGAGGTGAGTGAGGGGAAACGGGAAGGAAATAATCACAGAAGTGTGCTAACTGCTAAGTGCATGATTTCTAACTTAAAAAATTTCTGCCTTAGGTGCGTTTCTGTCATACAGGCCCTTTGAGTAAGTGCAATAAAAAATTTAGATCAGAAATGTGCTAATGTGAAGCAAGAATCCAGAATTGAGAGAAACCTAGAATCTTCGGATTAGAATGGGCATTAAAACTCATCAGATCCAAACTATTTTCTAAAGCTTGAGTTCCATCTAAAAGCCAAGTGCCAAGTGGTCCACTAGCTTAGCTTGAACGTTTCTGGTGAGATGTACTCCCCACCTCTTGATATATTTCATGTCACTGTTGATCAATTCTCACTGTTTATAAGGTATTTTCTTGTAATAAGTCAAAATAAATCTTGCCATATGGAACAAAGCTAATTCTTCTTCAGGATAACAGCCTTGCAAATATAACAAGGTATTTGTCAGTGCCCTTGGGTCTTTTCTCCGGGTTAAATATAATTGATACACTATTGGTAGGAGTCTGTTTACTGTCCCAAAATCTTTTCTGAATATACACAATAGAATAGTATTTTTCATTGTGCCAGTTACAGTCAGTGGGTGGTGAGATCAGTCTAGTGGATAAGAATTAGAATAGAATAGAATAAAATGCAAAATGTCAGAGTGTTTTAAACGTAGTAAGTATTGTTTTGTGAAAGGTGTATTTTAGATGTCTGTGCATGTCTGTGTTTCTATATATCTGTGTTTGTGTATACACTGAATTCTAGCTTTAAATTGTTTCTTAATGTGAATCACAATAAATTGTAAAATAAAATAAAATAATAAAATGCCACTGATATACCCCCACAGGAGACTTCATATACCTGAAGTAAGTGCTTCTCGAATGTCAGTGTGCTTGAGAATCACCTGAAGCGTTTGTTAAAAAACAGATTGTTAGGTCCCGTTGCCCTCCTCCCCCTTCCCCAGATTCTGATTCAGAATGTCTGGGATGGGATAAATTGCATTGCAATTCTCATATGAATTGCATTTTTAATAAGCCCTTGGGCTCAGCTACTGCTGATCTATGGAGCCCACTAAGAGTACCACTGCACTAAGTGACACTTGACTAACTTATGTAAGAACGGAGTGAGGGCACGGGTGTCAATCTGTAGTAAATGTTTAGTAATGCTTAAGTTAGTTAGTAACACTTAATTTCTTTTATTTATTTATTTATTTTTGTGAGGAACATTGTCACTGAGCTAACATCTGTGCCTATCTTCCTCCATGTTTTGTATATGGGACGCCACCACAGCATGGTTTGATGAGCAGTATGTATGTCGGCACCCGGGATCTGAACCTGTGAACCCCGGGCCCCTGAAGTGGAGCACCGAACTTAACCACTACGCCACTGGGATGGCTCCAATTTCTATTATATTTTTAAGTCAAATTAAATACAAATAGAAATTTTTAATCATTACTCCTCATACCCCACTTTGGAGACACTTGGAGAATCGAGTATAGTGCTTGAAGGAGAGATCAAGGCTGGGGGCACAAACTCAAGAAGGACTTACAGAGAATAGTGTCTGATTCCCAGAAATTAACTCATTTCTATTGGTTGACCTCAGAAAGGGTCTGACCCATCTTAGTTTCCTAACACATGCTCCCTGAACTGTCCTTAATTGATTTGGTGGAGAACTAATACTCAGTGGTCTCAGTTTTCTTTTATGATCTCACGATCAGTTCTAACTAACTTCTCCAATCCAAAGTTGATTTTTCTTAACAGAAAACCCCAATGCAAAATAGTCCAGAAACTGTGCTTCCTATCTGTCATTTCCAAGTGGACTTGAAGTTCAAGCTGGTGTCTTGTCTTGATTATCTTGTTTTGTTCCTGTTGTTTCACCTTAACATTCAGTTTTCTCTTCTTCCTTTCTTATGCTCCCTGTTTCATCTTAGAATTAACCCAAGACTCGTTTTGAAAACACTTCATTGGTTAATATTTTCAGTTTTGAGGGATTTCCCCACCCTCTAAAGCTGTCTTTGCCTTCAGAGACTTATGCTTTGGCATCATGCCCATTGCTTCTCTTTATTGTCTTCTCACCTCCCTTCCTGAAATCCAAATGTCACTTGGCTTTACCTTTCCAGGTCTTCATGAGCTTTCCTATGCCTTAGTCCTTCTCTCTGAGACTCTTCTACGTGACAAATACAGCAGCAACAACAACAACAAAATGACATGCCTAGTTGCACGCAATTTCAAAAGTGTTTAAAAAACCTGTAACGATTGCAAAAAGAAGTTATGATACACACAGATAGGAAAAGCATATATCTGGGTAATGTTGCAACATTGTGCAGGAGGAGCTCTTGAAATATGTATATAGGAGTAGAAAGTAGTGTTCTACTCTGTGAGATATTTGTGAATCTTTAATATTTTGGGTTGTAATAACAGGAAGTCTAAATATAAAAAGAGCTTTTGAGTTCAAATCTGCCATTTATTAGCCTTGTAAATTTGGGGCAAGTTACTTAATTTTCTGAGTTTCTATTTCTTTCTCTTTAAAATGGGGCGGTAATACATCATGAAGCTGAGCGATTTAAGTGCATGATAATATATAAAGAATTACACCCATGGAAAATTCTGTCCTGATTACCACTGTTAATCCCATTCCTGAATTATAGCTTCGTTTGTTCGGTTAAATCCCATTTCTCTATAGATCCTTTCTCAATGGTGTTAATATCAACTTCAGGTTGCATGCCTCCTCTTAAGAGAGGCTGTCTTCAATCTATGACATTTATTCATTTAATATTGTTGTCAATTCCAAATATTTAATGATAAATCACTGGCTACTTTCTTGCTTGTTCACTATCATATATCACCTCCTCATTGGATGGCATATCATATTCTCATTTACTTCTATTGTCCACTTATTAAGCTTTCTGGACAGTCTTGGCCAAATTGTTGACAGTTCGAGCTGCTGCATCTCACTTTTCTTAGTTGTTTCTTAAGTGTCACTTCTGGGATAATGCCACTGGGTCTGCTTTTCTCAATTTTACCCAGCCCTTAGAATGGATATAACACTTACTTTCCCCTGTTCCTCCTATTTTAGCAGTATCAATAAAGCTATTTTTGATGCTGTGCCAAAATGTATATTCACAGAGTGCTACCACAGCTAGGTTGCTGAAAATGATGTCTATGTGCGAGGAGGATGGATTTTGCCAATAAGAGCTCTTTACTTATTGCTTTTGATTAGAAACACAAAATGACTTAAGAAAACTAAGACTGGAATTGCAAAACTAAACTATTTTTTCAGATAGCTACAGCTTTTTAGATAAAGATTTCATTCACTCATTCAACAAATTTTTGTTAAGTGCTTATTATGTGATTGGAGCTGTGTTAGGTGTTGGGATATCAAAGGGCAACAGTGTAGATATGGTGATGTCCTTATGAATCTTTAAGTCTAATGAAGGGAAATGGACATGAAACCATTAAAAGCTATGAAAGAAAAACAGGGTATTATGAGAGTATGTTAAAGAGATTGGAGTTAACCTGGATAGGAGGGGAACCTCAAGGAAAGGCTTCCAGGACAGAGTAATATTTAGATGATATGTGTCTGCAGAGTTTCTATCCAGTACAATCATACATGTGTTGATATTTAATCTGCTTTTAGGTAAATGTTTGGGCATTATTGGTACTCAGATAAAGAACCAGTGAGCACATGTACCTATGTCAATATAAGTTTAGACTAGCAAAGAAAAATGGTGAATCTTCTCCATAGCCCTGCCCTGCTGGGAAATGCTTCTCAAACATTTTGCTGAAATGTGTATGAATCTAGCTTTAGAGATGGGGATTAGGGTTAATATGTTGAATTTCAGAGCCATGAGTGTGGTTCTTGAATCATTCTTTATAGACAAGTTCTGTTTCTTCCCAGGCCTGGAATCTCACCGTTATTACCTTGCAGCAGTGTCCAGTCCTATTAGCATGATTCTCTTGGGGTCCTTTGGTCACAAAAAAATTACAAGCCCACTTGTCAAAATATCAAAATTCCAGGATTATGTGTTTGTGGTTAGTAAAAGAACAGTGCAAAAGTAGAAATACTCTTCATTCACAGAGGGGCCTCTAGGACACTACTCTAGGTTTCAGTAGCTGGAACATTTAGTGTTAGTCCAGGCAATGTGTGTGGAGTGGACACTCTTATTACTTAGGAATCCTCTGCAGTTGGCATTGAGGACTTTCTACATTTCACTCTCCTTTACTCCCAACCTATCCCCCCAAAATTTTTTATTTACACACTACATGAAAGCATCTCGTGGAACTTAGATAAACAAAATAAGTGTGTCCTGTTGCCTTGTGTATTCTTAGCTAACTGGATGCTGCCTCACCTGACATTCCACATATCAAAGTACAATTCTAAATTGATGATCAGCCAGGTCCCCTCATTGACCAGTGAAACATTTTCTACATAATGCATAATTAAGGTCTTTGAGAACTTCAAGATCTATAGTGATCTTGTTGCTCATTGGAAACTGCAGCCCTTAAATAACTTGTGTGAAAATGGACCACAATTTAGTGGAAAGTCAGCCTGACCGCTACCCTGGGCTCCAAGGGCTTCTAAAACATAAAGAAATATAGGAAGATGAAGAAAACTGGATAAATCTGTGGTTGCAGCCAGTGACGATGGATGACCGGAGGTGAGGCCCTGAGGGGTGTGAGAAACGATGGATGGTTTCTGAACCCTCTTCTAAGGTGGGTGAAAGGTCAACAGCATGGGTGTTTGTTGTGGTTCAATATTGTCAAAAGAACCATTTGCTCAAGACAGGAGAGTTCAGACTGAAGGTTGCTTCTCTTCTCAGCTTCCCAACTCTCTCAGCCTTTCCTGTAAAATATCAAATTTGAGTTTGAAGGGGACCAGATTATCATCCTGACTGGGCTTTCAAGTGAGTTAAGCCATGATTACTCTCAGTGGAACTAGAAGAAATTTAAAGCCAGGATCTTGTTGTGAAATTTTTATTTTTTTTAAATATATCTTCTTCTATGCTGCAGTTAACAAGCACCAAAGAAATGTTTGGCTGATGGATTGAGCTCTCTGTGACTGCCAAGGTCCACAAGATTATCGAAGAACATCACAAGTTGAATGTTGTTCACCAGGAAAAAAAAAAAATAGACATCTCTGAGGTTCAGCTCAAGTGCTACTTCCTCTGGGAAGTCTGTGAGACTTGTATTCCTCTGTTGACCCCCACCCAATCCCTAGCTCCCAGCGTAGGTGAACCCATGCCTGCTCTTGTTCCCTTATGATGTCTCATTCTGTGTATTTCAATCACAGCCACTTGACACCAGTAACACCGTATTGAACTGATTTGTTTTCATGACTGTGATCCTGCTTTAGTTGGGAAGAACTTTGGGGACAGAATTCATGTCTGATTCATCTCTGTATTCCCAGGACAATGATTGGAACATGAAAGAAGCCAGATATATAGTTATGAAATACATAAATGAGTAGTAAATAATAAACACAACAATGATAAACACCTTCGTTTACCTATCTAGCTCAATCTTGTTTCTCTAAAAGAACGATGAAGATAACACAAAGAGTTTAAAGATAACGAGTGGAAAATGTAAATCTGGCTATTTCTTTTTCCTACTTTCTGAAAAGCCACAGAAGAAGTCATGTGAATAAAAGACATAAATGTCAGCGAATGGATTTATTGGTGTTAACCGTGCCAGCTTCTTGGTGTAATGCTTGAGCATTAGTAGTTAAGCAATACATTTTAATGACTGTTTCTAACATACAAGTGTATATTTAGAGATGGGAACACTATAGCACTTAAATAATTAATAATAAATAATTAATATGTTCCTCCAGAGAAATGGCTTCTATTATCTCTGGCCTATTGGGTGGTCTCCCTTTATCTTTTTAAAAGGCTTTGTGATTTGGGACCAAAATAGAGGGGAATGTGCATTTCCTTTGAAACATTTTTTTTCCTACATATCTAGTGAGTCCCCTGAGCCTAGAGGCCTTTCAGAAATACACACTTTGTATTTATAAGTTCAGGTATCTATATGGTGAAAAATCTCTTTAATTGGAATACTTTATGTAAAGTCCTAAAAATGGTGCTTTCAAAGACAAAAATCATTGCTATTCAGAGGATTTATTTTTCCAAAGCAACTAGTTCATATATTGACTTTTTAAAGTTAAGTGTCTCTAAGTATTTTTCCACACATGAAGATTCTGAAATCACTTGAAGGGTACTTTATATATATGCTTTGTTATTTTATTTCTTAAATTCCATCCTAATTTGGATCTGGGCATTTTATGGTAGCATTGACTAGGAGAAAAAGATTCGGTCATTTTGGTTTGCCCTGGGCCATCTAAACAGCTGTGTAAGCAGCAGGTCCTGGAAACACTGGGCTCACGACTTTTGGATATACTTCAAGACTCAGCGTGACTCCACCGCAGGACCTCACTCACTGCCTGTAACTGTTCCTTTGTGGTCATTCCGGAAGTCAAAATTCAATATGAATGCCTCCTGAGAAATGCTTTTAATGAACTATAAAATTCAGTAGTCTGAAGAGAAGGCCATTTCTGATACAGCGATTATACTCATTTCTGCACGCCAAGGCCAATTAAGGATTCTAGATATGTAACAAGAAGGAGACAACACCATTGCTACCATAGGTGAATTATGGCAACTGACAAAACACGTACCTGGAAGTTGGTGATTTCTCTGTGAAAAGCGAAGTTCAGCCTTTTGTGCCTCACACTCTCCTTTCAAGTGCCCTCTCCATGAACTCTCCAGAATGCTTTAATTTTCAAGAATTGTTTTGAGTTCACAGACCTAGTGATTGTTTGATTATATTTTTTTTTTTTTGGCCTCCTTTGGAAAATTAAATATTTAAGACTTTTTTTTTTAGATCATGCATTTGCACAGCTTTTGTATTCTTTTGAAATAAAATTGCTCTTAATGAAACATCTGAAAACATGAACAAACAGTGAACAAGCAGAGTTCTCCAAAATAATGATGCTATTGTTAAGTGATTGAATACTTAGGAGATTAATATCATGGTGTACTGGCATGTTGGTTAATTCTAGCCATAATTTAACAGTAAAACCTACTTAAGAAAGCAGGAGGCTGAACGGCTTGTCAGACACAAAGCACACACACATGGAACTCAACACAATAATAAATTAAGCACTGTTTATATGCAGACATGGCTGGCCTTATTTTTTTCTTAATCTGTGATTTAGGTAATAATTGCACTATAATTTTAACTCTCTGTGTCAGTTTGAATGTTTGCTTAATTGTTTTATTACCATTGTATTTACTGATACTAATACAGGGTGCCAGCAAAATTTGGCTCTGTGTCCCTAAGTCTTTATTTACATAAGACTGGCATTGATTTAGACTTGATAACATGTATCCCATTTCTACTAGATTGCTCTAAAATTGTTTGACCAAAGGCTATGGGGACATTTTAGGCCAAGTGAAAACATATAATTAAATTTCTGAAGAGTTCTCACATTCTCTAAGCCAGGATTTTCTTTTCCTTGCATATTTTACAGAATTCCCCAGATGAGACCAAAGTGCCTTTTGCTCCGATTTTGGCATACCATACAATGTCTGCATGTATTGGCTATAGACTATGAGAACATGTCAGCTGAAAGCTGTACAAAATCTTGCAAAAGGAGAAGAAAACAAGAGCCTCACATAAAGTTCAAATCTATCTTTCAGCTAGTAAGCTTTGGCAAATACAGAGTCTTACTAACTTGAAAAGTTATCTTGACTCTTAATACGAAATTAATTTCTTCTAGCTCCTAGGTTTAACAAAAATGCCTGGAATTTCATGACTTTTGTGTCTGTATGTCATAAAAGAGTGTGTTTACCACAGTGATGTGCATATGAAATCCTTGGGGATCTTGTTAAAATGTAGATTCTGATTCAGTAGGCCTGTGGTGGGGCCTCAAATTCTGCTTTTTTTTTTTTTTTTTTGCTGAAGAAGATTCACCTTGAGCTAGCATCTGTTGCCAATCTTCCTCTTTGTGTATGTGAGCCACCAATACAGCATGGCCACTGACAGATGAATGGTGTAGGTCCGCGCTAAGGAACTGAACCCAGGCCACCAAAGCAGAATGCACCAAACTCAACTACTAGGCCACGTGGGCTGCTCATGGTGATGTTGATACTGTTGCTCCATAGACTGTACTTTGAATAGCAAAGTCATAAAACATGAGAACTAAATATGTAACATCTTTTGTAGGTGGAAGAATTAGGCTTCAAAAAATATGTATGGATATGATACTATTAACTTAAGGAATTGAGGGTCTATTAGGACTTTTGTCAGGGTAGAGGAATAAATAATGTTTAACCTCTTCGCCTTTCAGCTAAAGTTTAACCTTTCAAGGAATGCTATTAATACCTTCAGTTATTTTGTTTCTCTACATTAATGTGGTCTCATATATGCATAATACAGAAATATATACGACAGTGGCAGTGATTTCAGGGTCATAAAATATCCCATAAATTGGGTTGCTCTGTTGATTTTGTGGTTTTACAATGAATTTAAGAGTCTGCCAGCAGTCTACATGCTACATTGTTGATGTTCTTGAAATTTTACATCCTTCAAAAAGGAGGGGTGAACCAGAAGATCTGCGTGTCCTCCTACTTTTGTGGTGGTGGATCTCCCAGAAGGCTTGTGGCTCGATAGAACTGAAGCTTGTTTAGATAACCACACACAATATCCATATGTTACCTCAAGAAATGCTCAGCTTTTTATATAGCCATTACCCTTGGAAAAACATCACGTGGCATTAACCTAATCTGGAATAAGTTAAGGGGCTGATCCTGAGTACGTGGTGGAATACAGCAACTTTGTAGGACTTGGGTTTTTGAGCTTTCCAGTAGAGAAAGTACTATAATATCTTCTGTAATATTTGAAAAATGACTTGAATTAAGAGAAACATTTACTTCAGCTCTTAATTTTGTCTCTATGGTAACACCAGAAAACATAGTTTTATTTTGACTGTCAAATACTTATTATTTGAATTATTTCAATACTCTTTTAACTAGTTTACTTCATATGGAGTCAGTTTTCTAAGCTAGAAGAGTCTACTCCAGACCTTATGTCAATTGCCTCAAATTGACCAAAATCCTGTGGAGACAGAACCTTCTAAGGAACAAGTATTTGGAAACAGAGATGCTCTCTAGATAATGTCATTTTCAATTGCTATTCTTGCCTGTATTATATTCAGAAACGTGCGCACGCGCGTGCGCACACACAGATTCGAGATTCTCCTTCAAATCATGGTGAATTATAGAGACATAGTGGGACATAACTTTACAAATATTTATCTCTTCTAAAAAATCAGACCATCTGTTGGAACTAGTTCCTGACTCAATGAAGTTACAATATATTGATTTTCATAAATAGCAGGAAGGCATGCCTGGAAATTTTGCTTAATTTAGATTTGTCTATCAGATTTCATTAATGCATTGTTTACTAATCTGTAAAATTTAAAAATCTTACTCACAGAGAAAAATATTTTAAATTCAATAGTTTGGGAAATATTAAAGAAGTCTGCAACATTTAACAGTGGTAAGGTTGTGGCGAAACTAGTATTCTGCTGATGATACATCGCTTTGGGAAACGTGTTCTGCATGCCTCAGCAATCCTCCTCCTGAACATATAGCCTAGTAAAACTCTTGCTCATTTGTCTCAGTAAATAGATAAGAAAATGTTAATAATAGCAGTGTTTATATTGGCAAAAGTAAAGGTGCGTGTATGGATAAACCTAAGTGAAAATAGACAGGAACTCTGATAAATTGTGAATTATTGTTCAAAGGAACACTATAACCCAGTGAAAATAAAAGAATCACAGTCCCTCGCACCAACATGGTTGAATTCGTAAATGAAGATAAGCAAGTTGCAGTAAAATATGTAAACTATGATTCATTTAAGTAAAGTTCTAACATGAACAAAACTAAACAATGTATATCAGATACGTATGATAAAACAACAGAGAAAGGCAAGGGGCATTTTATTACAGAATACAGGGTATTGGTTATCTATGGAGGAAAGTGCAGAAAATGGGGTTAGAAAGAGACGAGTAAGATATTTCACAATTGCAACCAATAATTTATTTATTATAATAATTTAAGCTCTGTGAGGTATGTTCATCTAAAAAATTTTTACATATGTTATAAATCTTTCCCATATTCAATATTCATTTATATATAAATATTTATTAATATATTTATGTAAATTAATACACAATTTATTATAATAAAT